CAATAAATGAGTACAAAAGATTATTCATTTTAAGTGTGTGAGAAGACCTCCAGAACACGTATTTTCAGGGATCACAGGAATTGTTATGATATGGGGTCTGCTCTTAGATGCTCTAGTCTGCACAACAGAAGTAGGTCATGCTTGGCATGCACAAACCCTAGGGCTGGGGTTCTGCAGTAAATGTATGGCTATCTTAAATGTCCCTTGGGAGAACATTACTCATTTTGCTTTGCTTTGTGGTTGGTCATTCTAAGTAGCGGTATCAACAGCAAGTTAAATGATTGAAAACTACAATTTAAATACTTCCCATTAACAGACAGCTTTCTTAACACACCCTTTATCGTTCCTAATGTCTTGGCCAATGAGTTTTGGGATGTTCTTTAGACAGTGAATATGTGTCCCAGGAGGGATAACAACAGTGGAGAATTTGTAAAGAGAAAAAAGCATTTCTTAGAGCCACAAACAAAATTAGTCCTTGGGCCTCAGGGTATGCTTTGGAGTTATAGTTGTCTGTGAGTATACTCAATCATTACCTGCTCAACCCAATAGGTATGGATATTCGAAACCATTGTAAGGTCCAAACAACATGTTGCACAGAAGCTGGAGTGGTATTTGGATTTAACTAACAAAGCAGAAATTATTCATGATCAACTGTGTTCTGTGATTTCAGTACACTGCACTTGAGCACCTAAATGCTTTGAGGATGAAGGAGATGGTCTAGGAAGGCCATGGTATTGATTAGCTTTGTACAACCTGACAATCCATTGTGGGTAACTAACCATGATGACTTGACATCAGGATGAAGATGATGTCCTGTCAGGAGCCTTATTTTTTGGTATAATCCGCCCTGACAGCCCATGACTTGTTCTAGAGGTTTTAAAAGCTGTAATGGGTTATCATGTCATCCAGGTCTCAAAGAACAGTTTCATCATGGGTTGTGGAGATTGGCTGGAAAGCTTCTCAGCAAGTGTAACAAAACCTGCCACCTGCATTATGTCCTCTTTGGGAAGGTAACTAGAGGGGAAATAGAGCATTGCTGCAGACACTCTTATTTCCTCTCAATTAACTTCCCAGTCATTCAATTTGCATATATTTGTGGGTTTTTAAAAATGATCAGGACCTATAGAAAGCACAGCAGTAAGTACTTGAAATGGGACCCAGGGAAAGGTGGAAGGAGTTAATATTCCCACAGTCTGGAGTAGCTGAATTTTCAGGGATGTGTTGAAAAGGTTGATGGCACTGAGAAACGTCAGTTAAGCAGAAGATATTTTGCACCTCTACCTTCACTGTTTCAATTTACTACTTCCTTCTGAGAGTTGAAACATACAAGGAAATTGACCAGGAAAGATTATACCTATCCAGCAGCTGTAGCAGTGCACTTGTGAAAGATAACAATGAACCCAAATGCACAATTTTCTAATGCTAAAAAGAACTTTAATTGTGCATTTTGTGTTTCATAATAATGAGGAGGAGGAGGAGGATAGCAATCAGAGCAAGGAGAGGGAAACAAGATGGTTTCTGTTTGCAATTTACTGGCTGAAGGACTGAGGAGAAAGGAGGAGAACAAGCTGTGCTAAGACTGATAGTCTATCAGGAACACTTGGGTTATTCCAGGAGCATCCTACCCTGCATAGTTTATTGGCAGGGTGCTAAGCATAACATGCAAACACAGCCTTTAACTTGACTATACTTCTTTCTTCCCCCAAGAAGAAGTAATTTTGGTTTTAGTATCAGTGCTGAAAAAATTATGGTACGGGAGAGCCTCATAAGGTTTCAAATATTTTAAAGAACTAGGACTGTGTGTGAGAGTTAGCCTGTTTAACTGATTTTAATCTGCATATTTTTACGTAGGAGAATAATAGTTCCAAAGGGGAGAAGTATTTTTAAAAGAAACACACTGCACAGCAGACTTTATCTTACAAGGGACAGTCTCCCCCTTCTCTCTTGTGCAAGTATGCAAGGATGGTTCTTGTCATCCTGTAGTTTTTCTGCATCATTTTTTTAATGTTTAAATATTAATATATTTTACCCAGTTAATTTTGGGCACTATTTTAGTTGGATCAAAATGTGATTTGTTGAAGGAGCATGTGGCTCACACATTGCTTTATCATTTGTTGGTTCTGTACCTTGCAGTTAGAGCATCATTGAACTCTATATTCTGCTCCATGGACAAAAAGACAGGAGATGCATGCACAAAATTTGTATGACTATCTTTTTTCCCTAGTATAGACTTTTTAATGCCTATTTCATTGAGGAGTTCTTTGTTAGTTTTTTCTAGTTTGGCATGTCCCTTCAGAGGAGATGCTTTCTGTTAAATGAAAGTAAACTATTTTTGTTCTGATGTCTATAAAGCTGTTTTTTATTAATTACATTAATATGTAACATCTGACCAGAATATATCTTATCCTCTAAATGTTTTGGGCTTGTTAACCAGATTCACGACTATATCTATCTCTACATTATGGAAAGATAATGGGGGTGGAAAAAAGAAGCAGAACATTTATGTAAAACAGAACTAGTTTAAAATGGCATAGGTAAGCAGGGAAGACCCTGTGATGCTCCTAAAAGTGATGCTAGAGAGCATTGTAGAACGATGGCCATGACACTAGCCCTGCCTATAAGCTGGAAAGTGTCCACTTAAAAACTTACCCAGTCGTGAACTCAGTTAGCAAACCACTGTGTCGCTCTGCCTCAGCTCCACACACAAAAGAGAGCTAGTAATACTGTCTACTTGAGCTGCTGCATGCAGCAAACAAAGGTTGCCATATGTTTTCAGGGAGGAAAACAAGTCAAGAGGAAGTCTTCTACTTGCAGGGCTGCCCAGTTCCAAGTATGATTTGAAGATCCTGAAGCATAAGATGGGAGAGAACCAGGGAACTTCAAGTTCCCCATGAACAGTTAGCATCAGAAGAGCAGCCCAAGTAGTGGCACATGGGTTTCCTGGTCACAGTCTTGCCCACTATGAAAAGATGCACTGCATTGCTTTTTGGAGTATAATAATATTTCTACATTTGTATATACACATATATTAAAATCATATGCAAATCTGTATCCTGTTTTTTGGCAATTCTTAGGTGACCACCCTGCTATGAACACTCCCAAGGGTAGCATTTTCCAACCAGTATTACTTTTACTGTCTAATATAGTGAAATACCATTGGCTGCAATATAGTGTAAATACTAAATATAGTTCATTTACTAAGATTTATACACCATTTCTTTATTTTTTTTTCCAGTTTTTCAAATCTGTTCTGGTTTGATTTAGCATGTTTATTTGATGTATATCAGTAAATTAAACAGTGAATTGAACAGTTAACATCATGTTAATTTAATTTGCTGATAGATTTCTCAGGTATTTTTCCGACTGAACTGTTTTGATTATGAAAAACATTATGTAAAGCACATTTAGTGTGGTTTCAATGTTATATTCAAATGCATCCAAAAATTTTACTTCAAAATAATTTACAGAGAGTATTTGAAAAGACATAACAGTCTAATCACATGCGTGCCTTATATTACTTATAATTTAAGAAGGAGATGGATGGTAAAATGGAGATGCTGGAAACTTCATATACATGTAGCATACCCAAAGAACTGTAGATAGGGCGGGGCTTTTCCTGAGTGTTTTTCCATGCATTCCTCTGCATGTGGCAATTAAGGAACCATGTTTGCTGTCCTGCTCCAACCTTTGTGCCTTCAGCAATGTAAATGGTTCTACATGTTTGCAGCTGGCTGCATCAAAGTAACTGTTTACAAGTACTGGTTTTTTGTCTACACAACGTGTCGTGTCCACCTTTTCTGTTGAATGTGTAGAGATTATGGTGACAGTCAGCAGGGAAGTCAAGGGCCGGGCCAGACCAGCTCCATGCTCTGAATGGGACTGAAGAAGAAGGCTCTCATCCTTTAAGTATCTGGGAAGAGTTTTGTTTTGTAACTGTTCGATTTGTAGATACTCATTATGTTACAAATTAAGTTTATGGAACAATATAGCAAAAATATCTGTCTTATATCCCTAAACACTACACTTCTAGGGAACAATCATTTTCCAGCAGTCAGTTTATCTGTTTGAATGCTGGAAAATGGATATAGAAAAAATAGAAGTGTTGTCTGAAGAATGTCAACTGGCCTATGTATGAGGGCTGCAAAGTCCCTGCAAACAAACCTCAGCACCTGGAAAGGTGCTTACATATTGTTTCTACAGCCAGTTTCTTAAATTGCAAGAATATGCATTTAATTCTGTACTTGGAATAAATAGCTTTCCTATGCATACAACATCTTAATTTTGCTTATAGGCATTATTTTTATGAAAGGACATAAGCAAAGAAAAGAGAAATTTGATATTGTGGATTTTGGGGGAAAGATAAAAAAAAAACTGATGACAACAAATCTAGCAAGCTAGGCCAGTGTAAATGCAAAAATAGAAAGTCCTAGGAGGAATTCCTTCAGAAGGTGTGAACAAATAAGGTCAGGATTGGAATGAAAAAGAATAAAGTTAAATGACATAAAATACATCTTTTACGAGACAGTAGTAGTTTTTTTTAATTGAGCAGTCCCAGTGAGAGCAAGATAGGTCTGGGATAGAATACAGGCTAATCTAGTGTTACCACCTAGGTGCAGGCAGTAGTCTATATTGGTTAACTACTTTGGAGAAACCTCATTTGAGGATAAAAAGTGACTTGACAGAAGTAGCAGTTTTATTCTGAGACAGACTAATCATACATTCATTCCATGTCAACTTCAGTCTTCAGACCCCTTGGCCAAAAGCCTTCAGATCCCTTGGCCACTGTAGACCTATAACTGGAGAGGTTGCCTATTAAAGATGTTGCATGTTGTTACTACCTGTAAAAATAATGGGCTTCCCCAGATACTTTCTCTCTATAGTTCTAAAAAAGTATAAATTATTTGCATCGCTTCTGAAGTCTAAATTTTATTTGCTCTGCTCTAAAGTTTAACTATAACAGCCTAACCACACTTGTTTTCTCTTTCATCTCTCCACGGCAGTTATTCCTGACTCCTTGCGGGTAACCTCAGAAGCTCAAACTCTAAACAAAGTACAACATGATTCTCTGGAGCTGAAGTGTGAAATATCCAAGAATACTGCACAGCACAGCCACATTTCCATTGCCTGGTACCGGCAGAAAGCCAATGAGCCAGCGGTGGAGGTGATCTCCCTCACTCGTGATTTTGTATTGCATGCAGGAAGTGATTACACCCAAAGGCATGCAAGCGGTGACATACGCCTGGATAAAGTAGGCGAAACTCAGTCCAAACTTACAATCTATAACCTGCAGTCTTCTGATGAGGGCGAGTTTTACTGTGAGGCAGCTGAGTGGATCCAGGACCCTGATGGCTCTTGGTATGCAATGACCCACAAGCGCTCAGAGGGCACCATGGTCTACGTGGAAGGAACCGGTTAGTGCCTTTGATTCTTCGGGTGCAGGGGAGAGGGTAAAGTTGGCTAATCGAGGGTACCCATCAATGGGATCTGTGGAAAAGGTTAATTTACAAGGTGTTTGTGGGGTAGAGAAAAAAAAAGGTTTTACTTTCTGCCTTCAAGTACTTGGAGAGTGATTATTTCCCCAGGAATTGTGAATCCAGGTTCGGGAAGTCTGGTTTACACAGTCACTTCTACTGAAAAATACTTTCTCTCCTTCCTTTTGGATGTAGGGCAGGGGGACAAGGACCATGCCACCTGCTTGCTGGTTTTCTACTTATGGGATATGGGATCACATTCCCTGCTTTGCCGCTATGCATATTTAGCCAAGGTGAAAAACATCCACTATTTACTTTTAGCCACCTGCAATATACCAGGGTAGTTAACAGACATTAAAGGAGTAGCAAATCCACATTTAGTCAGAGGGTATTCTAATGGGATACCCTCTGGGAGGTATTCTGATGCAATCAATACATACATGATTTTTATCATAGGTTATTTCAGGGATCAGAAGCACTCTTTCAGCATTCTACACAATCCCTGTTCTTCAGTTTTTCCTATCTTGTCCCCACTCCTTGCCTTTGTTTGTTTGTTTATTATTTAACCTCTATACCGCCCAACAGCTGAAGCTTTCTGGGCAGTTTAAAACCATCAGCATACATAAAGGAAGGAGGAAACATGGAAGTTCTGGGCTCATTTCCAAACCATCAAACCATTGTTTGTAGGGTTGTGTGAACGCAGCCTAATTTCTCCTTCTCTGTCAAACATGAGGAGCAGATGTCTTCCTAATCCAGCATTATAGCCCCAAAACATTTTTATGTACCCAGCTCTTAGGCACATAAAATGCTTGGGTTTACTGCTTTATATCACAATTGCATTCTTGTTTTTGTTTTACTTCCTCTAATTCTTTTCCTTGTGTTCTTATTCTTTCTGTATTGGGCCTGCCATAATTTCTGAACTCTAATTTCATTTCTGATGTTGTTTTTGAAAAGGAATTCATAATGAAACATTCCATTTGTACATTACTGTCACTTTTCCATCTGGTTAGAAGTCTTTCAGTAACATTTGTGGAGCTATTACAGGTTGTTAGTGTCAAAAATAAAGATGTGGCTTTACATTTTTGATGCACCAAAAGAGCTTACTTATTTAATGATACATTGGCTGGATATGACCTAGATGTTTCAGGTACATGCTGGTTACTCTATAAAATGCATTATAATCTGTCATTCTTTTCTTAAGCTAGTTAACTATGTTCAAAGCTGGAAAAATAACCTGTATAACCTACAGGTATATTTAAACTAGGCATTTATTTATTATTTATTATTTTATCTCAGTCAAAAGGGTCCCAGCGAAGCTTATATGTAATCAATTAAACAAGACAGTGCCTGCCCACAGGCTTATAATCAACAGAACACCCAAGAAAAAGGGAATGGGGATGGAATAACATGGGGAAAGTAATTCTTTCAGCAGGATTAGTGGAATGGCCCTGCACTCTGCTTCTTCTCCCTTAGCAGTCTGCTGGAATGGCTACTAGTGTGCAGTGGCATGTATTGCATCATTGAAAAATAAAGGTGTGTTGGCACTAGAATAGTTGTCTGGCGTTCTGCAGAAGACAAGAGTTCTGCATTGGGTTGGTGTTTGAGAAGAGGAAATAAATACAATGAAAATAAGTGATTTGGCAATCTACAAAATCTGACAAAAGTGTAAATATGCACTTTGATGAGTAGAATAAGTTTATATTCAAAAACCGAATCAAGATTACATGGTCTAGAGTGAGATGTATAAAACAAGTACAGGTCACAGGCTTTTTATGAGATTAAGAACTACTACATATTTAGAAGGTATGCATTGTGTATATTGGATATGTGGATGGGTTATTTTTTTTCTGTGGCCCTTCTTGACTTTTGTGCACTGGTTATGGGAAGAAAAGGACAAATGAAGAATTTATTTAATGTCTTTCTGTCTGATAAATATTTGTATTGATCATTTAATGCCATATTTTCCTTAATATAAAATCAAACTAGCAGCCTCCTTTTTAGTGTCTTACTAAGCAGTGTTTCACCCTGTGTTGTCGTTGTTCTATGTTGTGCTCTTTTTTGAATGATGTCCTTTTTTGGCCTGTCAGTCAGCACTCAATCTAGTTCTGGTAGGGTTTCTTATTTAAACAAAATTAAAACAATACTTTTCCCTGTTTCTTTGATGTTTTGAGGGTGTGAAATCATACTGGACACTTCGCTCATGTTCTAAGCCAAGGCTTCTGGATAAGAGTATATGGCTTTTAAAACTGTGTTGCTAATTTGGTACACAGTTCAGTCTTTGAATCAAAATATGTAAGCCAAGTAGAATAATTTCCCAAAATGGCACATTGTAACTATCATAAACATTATTACTGGATTTCACCTTGTTATATACTGAATCAGCAATTGTACCAAATTAAGTTGCACCAAGCACTAGTTCTATCTGTGCTGCTGTGCACATAATAAAATGAGGTAGAGGTGGACCATTTGGAGAGATGGATAGAATTCAGTAAGATGGGAAGATGCAAATCTCTCTCTCTAAAGTGAGTATTAAAGTTCTACTTGTCCAAGTTCTTACTAGGTTTTCCTATGTGTTCAGTGCTGTGATACAGTTTTCATTTTGTATGTGGTGCATGTGTGTATGTTCTTTTACCTTTTAGATATGGATATCAATGTCCGGCTCGAAACAGAGAAGCGGACATATACAGTGGGTGAACCAGTGGAGTTCAGGTGCATCCTGGAAGTACAGAATGTTGCAAAGAGATATTTTTCCATCTCATGGGCCTTCAACAGTTCCCTGATTGCCAGCTTCGGGGCTAATGCTGTGCCAGTGCTTAATAATGAGTTTGCCCAGCGGGAAGCTCTGGGGCAATTGAAAGTAGCCAAAGAGAGTGACAGTATCTATATCCTGAAAATCTACCGACTGCGTCTGGAGGACAGTGGAAAATACAACTGTCGAGTGACAGAGCGTTTGAAGACAACAACTGGTGAATTTATTGATGGAGAGAGCAAACGACCAAAGAACACACCCATTACAGTCTTACCCCTTAGTAAGTAGAGACCGTGCCTGTTTTTACTGATTATGACTTTGTGAGCAGAGCAGAGCTTTGAGCATGGCAAGCAGCTCATGGGGCCAACTTTTCCTTGGCTGTTCTGTACATAACCTACAAAGGAGGTTCAAATTCATTAACTGATTTGATTTCTGTGCCAATTTAGTCTGAATGCTCAGAGTAGTTTATACTGCACGAATTCATAAGTATAATAAAAAATAAATGCTTAGGTCTGTCAAAATGAAAACCACTTTTCATACAAATTAGCAATATCCATGCACCAGAAAGGCATTTTCTCTGGTTACTGTCCATCTCAACTCTGAGGAAGGGGCATCCAGAGAAGTGTCTTAGAAGATAAATTCAACACACAAAAAGATCGATGTGAGGCTAAGTGGTCCCTCAAATACCTGGAAATGATAAGGGCTTTCCAGAAAATTTTGAAAAGGAAGATGTTCCACTGCCTTAAATCAAAGAAATCTGCTTTATATTTTTGCTTGACTATTTTGCTTACTAAATGTAAAAGTGACATATTGTTTATATTGGAAAATATAGTAGTGGATGCCCAGTTCCTAAACTGCATAGGGCTTTAGAGCTATGCATTCACCAACACCAAAACAGGTCCCAAGCCATTGAAGACCAGAGAGTGTGAGCCAAGCAAAAACAAACAGAAAAGCACTGCTGGTGGAGGAGTGAGAGATTGGAAAGGTGGCTGGAAAGACAAAGGGGGTCCAGAAGCAGCAGCAACAGTGGCACAAGACCACTCTGAGCCCCAGAGAGAGTGGAGTGTGAGCTGCGCTAAAAAGTTCTCTTGGTGGCCAGTGCCACTGCTTGATACAACAGGCCCAGCAGGATAAAAATTTAAAAGGTAGTAGAAAGACTCCTCAGTACTGGTGACTTGCAACATCCATGCAATGTTGGTTTTCCAGCCTGAGGTAAACATGCCCTATATATGCAACCAGTGCAAACTAACAGCCATGTTAGAAGAAAAGGAAAAAGCACTAGAGCAGTGAATAGTCACCCTCAAGGTAACAACAGAAGATGAAGAGTTTGTAGACAGTGTGGTGGAACTGCAACATATAAGAATATTACAGAAACTAGGAGTGCAACAGCAAACTAAGGAGCAAGAAGAGAATCCTGATGGAAAGGAAAATGAGAATAAAACTGAGTGACAGTTAAAAGCAAAAGGACTAGAAGACGTTCTGCACCAATGGAAGAAGTGGAACTATTGAACATTTTCAGTTACTTGAGGATGTGACTGGAGGGTAGCCTGTAGTGGAAGGAACTGCAGGACATCTAGAGCAACACTGAACAAGAGGTAAAAGGTAACCCTATGACACCAAGGCTTACAAAAACAAGAAGAGGAGTGTTAGTGGTGTGAGACTCCCTCTTGTGTGGGATAGAAGCACATGAATGCCCGAATGACCCATAGACTGGTTGATTCATCAAGTATGCTGTCTCCTTAGAAGACCAAATAGTGATATAACTGAAAGATTGCCAAGGCTCATACAGCCCACTGGCATGACTCTCCTTCTTATAAATGTGGGAACAATGACACTGCTAAAGGAGTTTTGAAGAAATCATGTCAGATTTTGAAGCTTTGAGAAGGAAAGTCAAGAACTTTGGAGCCCAGATAGTTTTCTCTTCAGTCCTTCTAGATGAATAGACAGGGAAAGAAAATACTCCAGGTGAATGCCTGGCTATGAAGGTTGTGCCACTGTGAGAGTTTTGGATTCTGGGACCATGGGCTACACTTCCTGGAAGATGGACTGTTTGCAAGCAGTGGGCTGCACTTAACAGAGACGGGAAAGATAGTATTTGGTCACAGCATGACAAAGTTTATCAGGAGGGCTTTAATCTGAATAGTACTGGGAAGGGAGAAGTGCACCTGCATGTAACAACAGACAAAGGCTTATGCACTGAAACAGAGTAAGTAACTAACAGTCCCTAATAATAGTCTTCCAAAAATGTAGAAAGAAAGCCAGAGTACAAAGTATGTGGTCTTTGATGTCTATATACTAATGCCCAGAGTATGGGAAACAAACAGTATGAACTTGAACTCTTAGTACATGAGAGTGAATATGACCTGCTAGTTATAACTGAAACTTGGTGGGACAACTTCCGTGCCTGGAATTCAAGAATTATGCGTATAACCATTTCAAGGAGAACAGCAGGAACAGAAAGGGAGGTGGAGATGCACTGTAAGTTAACTATACATATCTCTGCACAGAAATACCGGTGGAAGAGCACAGTAGTTCCATCAAGAGCATCTGGACTGATATAAATGGAGCAAGGAATAAAAGGAACACAGTGGTTGGCGTCTATTGCTGTTGACCTAGTCAAGGAGAAGATAATGACAAAATATTTGAAAAGCTAATGGCTGGTGTTTCAAAGAGCCATGATGCCATCATTATGGGGGACTTCAATTTCCCTGATAGTTGTTGGGAGATGGCCACTCCAAGAGATGGCTGATAACTTCCTCCAATAGAAAGTGGACAAAGGAACAAGAGGAATGGCTTTCTTTGACTTGATAATAACCAACAGGGAACTTAGTGGACAAAGTGGCACCTGTGGGAACTCTGAGGAAAGTGACCATGCCAGACTTGTTTTATTAAATAAAAAGGAAGCAGAAGCCAAATGTAGCCAGACATTCACCCTGGATTTCAAGAAAGCCAATTTTAACAAACTCAGAACAATGATAAGCAAAGTCCCATGACAAGCGACTCTAAAGGGGAAAGGAGTCCAAGATGGGTGGAAAATCTTTAAAAAGGAAATTCTAAAGTATAGGTCCTCAAACTATGGCCCATGGGCCGGATCTGGCCCGCCATGCCCATATATCCGGACCGCCTCAGAAGTTTTGGACTCACTCAGAGAAAACGATCTCCAAGTGAGCAAGCCGTCGCTGCACCATGCGCGCGCCCGTCACCACCTCACCGCGCACCTGTCACCACCGCCGCCTTGCCTTGCTTCGCCGCGCACCCGCCACTGCCTCGCTTTGCCTCCCTGCGCGCCTGCCACTGCCTCACTGTGCATCCACTGCCACTCCTGCCCCTTCACCGGCCCACGCCCACAGCCGGCGCCTTTCAGCTGACCCCTGTTGAACAGTTTGAGGACCCCTGTTCTAAAGGCAGAACTGCAAACGATTCCAGCGAGGAAAAGGCATAAAAGACAACAGAAAGAAGTCCATGTGGTTCACAAAAAGCAAAGCGATTATCTGAAAACAAAAAAAGAACATGATAGGAAGTGGAAGGAAGGCCAAGCTACAAAGGAAGAGAACAGAACAGTTCCTATAGCATGGAATTGCAGGGATGGTAACAGGAATTCTAGAGTTAGGAATGAACTGAGGCTAACAAGGGATGCTTAAAAGCAACAACAAAAAAAAAAAAAGCCTTCGTCCAATTCTTTCAAAGTAACAGACAGATAAAAGAAATGGGAGTTAAAATACTCAATGTGGATCGTGAAATGATAGCAGGTGACAAAGAAAAGGCAGAAGTGCTCCATTTCTATGTTGGCTCAGTCTTATCCCGAAAGAAGAACTACAAACTTCCTGATAAAGGGGAAGTACAAGCTGAAAGTGCAGAAAGGAAGTTTAAGATTGACAGACAAATGGTCAAGGATCATCTAGTTGGGCTAAATGAGTTCAAATCTTTAGGACCTGATGGACTCCATCCTAGAGTCATTAAGGAGCTAGCGAGAGAACTCTCAGAAACACTGTCAATTATCATTACAAAATCATGGAGGACAGGGAAGTACCAGATGACTGGAGAAGGGCTAATGATTTCTCTATCTACAAGAAAAGGGGGACCGGGGGGGGGGGTGAAGATGAATCTGGGAGCTAGAGACCAGCCACTCTGACATCAATCCCTGGGAAAATTCTGCAGCAGATTATAAAGCACCCAATTTGTAAACACCTTGGAAACAGTGCAGTGATTACTAGAAACCAATGTGGATTAGCTTTTAGATTGGCTTCTTGTCCTGCCAGACTAATCTGATTTCTTTTTTTTTCTTTCTTTCTTTTTTTTTAATCGGATGGCCTACCCAATGGACTGTGGGACTGCTGTGGATATAATCTATCTTGACTTTAGCAATGCTTTTGACATAGCCCTTCATTATATCCTGATTAGCAAACTAGCAAAAAGTGGGCTAGATGGAACAACTATTAAGTGGATCATAATTGGCTACAGAATTGGACTCTAAAGAGTACTCATCAGTGTTACCTTCCTAATCTGGGGAGAGGTCATAAGTGAGTTGCCTCAGTGTTCAGTTCTGGGCCCAGTGCGCTTCAACATTTTTATTAATGATTTGGATGATGAACTGCAGGGAACAATTATCCAATTTGCAGGTGACACAAAACTGGGTGGGAGACAGAAATAAGATTCAAGGTGATCTTGATAGGTTGGAACTCTGGGCTAAAACAATAGAAAGAAATTCAGCAGGAACAAATGTCAAGTTCTACAGCTAGGAAAATAAAACCAAATTCATCACTACAAGATGAGGAATACTTGGCTCAACAATACTGCAAGTGAGAACAGTCTTGGAATTGTTGCTAGATATGAGTCAACAGTGTGATGTAGCTGCAGAAAAAGGCAAATTCTATTTTAGGCTGCATTAATAGAAGTATCACTTCCAAATCATGCAAAGTACTAGTACTAGTTCTCCTATACTCAGCACTGGTCAGACCTCATCTGGAGTACTGTGTCCCATTCTGGGCACCCACAGTTTAAGAAAGATGCAGACAAGCTGGAAAGAGTTCGGTGGGGTCTGGAAACCAAGCCCTATGAGAAGAGATTGAGATAACTGGCATGTTCATCCTTGAGAAGAGAAGACTGAGGGTGATGTGATAGCACTTCCAAGTATTGGAAAGGCTGTCACAGAGCAGAAGGACAGGCTCTCTTCTTTATCATCCCAAAGTGCAGGACACAGAAGAGTAGATTCAAGTTACAGGAAACCAGAGTCCTGCTAGATAGCAGAAAAAAAATCCTGATTCTCTATAACAGTGGAACCAATTACCTAGGGGAGTTGTGGGCTCTCCCACACTCATGGCATTTGAGATGCAACTGGGCAGTTATCTGGGAGGGATGGTACAATTTGGTGTCCTGCACTAGCTGGGGATTGGAGCCAATGGCCTTCTTCCAACTCTACTATTCTATGATTCTAGGTGGTTTGTCAATCACTCTAGCAAGCTACTTGCCAAGCTCTCACCTAACAAACTAGGTGCCTCACCTAACAATTCCTGCCTCACCTTGATATACATTTAGAATGGCACTATCACCACAGTGAGAAGACCCGCAGGGTGGCTTCTGATTGCCTGCAACCTGGGCATTCCCATTGTGCCCTGCAGCCAGTGAAGTTTTTAAAGAACTGATTAAAAAGGTGCCCTGTAGCCAGTTCTCAACAACAGTCTAGAAAATGCAAAATTGAGCATGTATCTCACCATTCGTTTTTTCTGCATCATACGTCTGGCCATTCCCAGACACATAATTCTAATGTGTTATGCAGGGATATACAGATACACTTGATAAGCTATTTCTGCCATTGCAGTGGCACTTTTTGGAGCTGGCACAATCTTAAAAACAATTTACTGCCAGATTGCATATTGTTATTTTTCCAAGTTGCCTCAGGCATGAGCTTGTTTGGGGACTGTTGCTTGAAGAAAACAGACGAGGCGAATGCATGTATGAATTTACCCAGGCAGCCGTAGTTAGACTCACACATTCTGTTCCTTACTGCAGAGACCAATATTTCAGTGGAAGTATCCAACAATGCCACCAGTGTTCTAGAAGGGGAGAGCCTGCGATTTGGTTGCAGTGTCCGCACAGGGTTTCGACCCCAAAACCGACTTTCTGTCACATGGCAACTTGTGGACAAGCAAAACCGTCGCAGTGACATTGTGCAGCTTGACCGGGATGGTAGTCTTCATCCCGGCCCCTCTTACATCGAGCGCAGTAGCTATGGGGGGATCCAGATGGAGCAGATATGGCCAGGATCCTTCACCCTTGAAATCTTCAACAGCCTCAAGTCAGATGAGGGCCATTATGAATGTCGCATCACAGAGTGGACGCGAAGGCTGGATGGGGAGTGGCAGATGATTGGCGAGAGACACAATGGCTCTGCTGTATCCATCACTGCACTGGGTGAGTATTTGAAGTGCTGTTCTGTTTATGCAACAACAGTAATAATGGTAAGGATGCAGCAGAACTAAATCTGGTCCTGGGATTCTCCAGAGGGTCATACCCTGCCCCATTTCCCAACCAACAGTTTGGTCGTTTCCCAACTTTTGTGCCCTTTTCCTCCCATTCTCAAATTTAAAACGCATTTCCCGCTCGTGGTAGTATCTTTATGCTAAAATAAGCTGATGTGTTTAAGGGGTTGATAGTGTCCTTTTGCCTTAAATTCTGCCAACCACTGGAATGCAGCACCTGAGCATTTTTCCAAAATGGAATTCACTCTTCAGCCTGAAAGATGTCCTACACTCCTGGTGTATGGAAACACATATGTCATCCTCAGCGAGTCTTTAATTGGCCTAATAGAAGATATCACTAAACATAGTTAGTGATAAGAGTTAAGTTAAGAGCTTTTTGGCATGGATACATAGCATTGTTCACAGTCCTTTCCTCAGTCCTGCACATATTATCCTGGAAATGCACAGAAGGAAATTGTCTACAAAGAAACAAAGCTGCTGCTGCTTCTGCCTTTCCTTGGTCAAATGTGATAGTGGGAAATAACAGCACTGGCATTACAACAAACACTGGGTTGTTTGCATGATATGAGAGCCCACCATAGCCTTATTTAAACCATGATAATGCTGTGGCCCACGCAGACACCCATTTTAGGATTTTTAATAATTTTATTTTAATAACAGTAAAATTTGAAAAGAATAAAGAAAAAAATAAGAATACACAAAGTTATCAAAAACAAAAACACCCCACCAAGGGTTCTTAAATGTTATCTCGAGTATCAGCTATTTAAGCAGCCACTATTTTGAAACCCTACTTAGGGGTTGTTGCATCATATGAACCCAATTACCATGGATTACAGAAGGGTTAAACCTTGCATAAGCCTCGCTCCTTGGTTTGCACAAGACAACTGTCCCTGAGCCAGGCTTTCATATTCAGCCTACAGGCGCTATAGCCCCTCATAGATTAAATAAAAATGGCTAGCCACAACATGTCATCCAGACCTGGTCATTGTTTAGGGAGGGACTGTGGCTCAGTGGCAAAGCCCATGCTGTGCTTACACACTGTCCCAAGCTCTATCCTTGGAGTCTCCGTTAAAAGGAGCTCAAGACTCTTGAGACCCACTGCCAGGCAGAGAAGACATACTGGGCTAGATGGATAAATAAACTGGTCTGCTATAAAGAGTATTTCTATTCCTGTGGTATTCATTATCAAGAAGCAGGGTTGGAAAAAAGCACAGAGCAGTGGCAGTTCTGTGTTTCTAGTCCTGCACTTCCAAATGTTTTGGGCTTAAACTCCCATGACCTCAGCCAGCAATTGTCAGGAATGCTGGAAAATGTAGTCTAAAACAGGAAATAACCAAATTAAGGAAGGCTGCTCTGGTTCCCGCACGGCCTGGATTGCAGTGGAAACCTGATGGTCATTATTTCAGGAGTCCATCTCAACCGCAGGTACAGGCCAGGAAGGTATTCTAGTTGAGAAATATTGCCACTTTGCATGGCCCCACCTCCAAAGCAGGTAATTGAATCCTGCTAGGTAAAAACATTCCTGAAGTACTTTGCCCTCCTTTTCTGGAATTGTCCTAGTGGTTCTTCTAGCACTTTTGCCTTCCAGTTAAAATCCCATAATGGATCCCCAACTCTGCTTTTCCTTTCATTCTTATGTCTCCCTCAGTTCCTCTCTTGCCTATTCCTGCACACCTGTTGCTGCCAAACGTATGCAGACACATTTGGCAAGTAACAGCAATTATGGTTGTATGTACCTAGTCCTCACAATTGACTTGTGGATACTCAGTACATAACTGCAGGACAGGATGGTATGTGATGGCAGTGGTTAGCCTGCCCCATGCCTTCCTTTGCTTTATATTCTGGGAGAAGTGTAGAATTGTGAAAATTCTGAAGAGCACAGGCTGTTCAGCCATCTGATTTTAAACTAACTGAGAAGCACAGCTTGTTGGAAGTTGAAGACCCATGACTTGTTAGTGTGTTCTTTCCCCTGAAGGTTCTGAATGTGCCTTTGCTCTCCAGAATGTCAGTTGCTTCCCAAATTGTCTGAGTCATAAATTAGGCCAAGTTGAAAGTCTATTTGAATGTTTCATTATTGCTAAATAAGCAAGTTGCAATAATTTTATACTGATTGATACACTAGAAATGACATCACAATTACCACTGAATAGCTACTTAGAGAGATGACCAATTTGATACAGTTAGTAATTACTAACAGGCTAGCATCTCATTTTTGCTTTTGGTTTTGTTTGTCTTTTAAGGAATAAAACTGCAAAATAAGTTTTCAATATTTTCTATGTGAATTCACTCAATTAGAACTTAAGGTTTTCCCTAAGTTGTGCAAACTGGGTTTGTGGGTTTGCTCAACCTTTTGTGCATCGTGACATACTAGCAACCAAAATAGAGGTTAAGAGGTGTTTTGTTAGTATGGCCATCTTAATAGGTCACAGAATATCACCATCTATTCTATCTCATGCTTGGCATTTAGTGAGAATAGTTGCAATATCTGTTCTCTTTAGAGTTCTTGTGAATAACTGCTTTAATATAAGCAAGGTAGCACCATAGAGTGTTTCTCTTTTTGCATAAACTCTTATCTACTGAAGAAAAAGAACTTTTCTTTGATACCCAGGAGGACAGATATGCCAATCTTATTTGAGAAAAACCCACATCTTTTCTTCTTTATGGCAAAAGCAATATACAGATTGCAGTGCCCTAGAATGCGTAAACTAGATGTCTCAGGCAGCAGGCTCTGAGGTAAGGGATGTTGCAATGGCATATGTGCTCCCATCCCTTGCCAGCATGGTTGTAAAAATGGACAGAGATGTCTTTGGTCTTCCTGCCATTGCTCCAGGTTTATCACACTCCTTTCTGTGAAGCAAGTGCTGCTATAAAATGGGGCTATTGAGTCTCTTTCAACTCATATGTTTAATTCCATTTGGGAACTGCATTCCAGTGTTGTCAGAGCCAAAGAGATAAGGGGCAGGTCATAAAATAGCAGCATATTTTAGCTTAAAGCTTTTATTGCTGGTAACTAAACTGTAGGAGAGGCATTTCAATGTTGTGAAATGTGGAGAAAATTGCAGGAAAGTTGGGAAACTTCTCAATGGTCATGGGAAGGGGTATGGGACTTGGTGAAGGGACTGTTGTCCTGTGGAGATCCTCAGAGGGACATATTTGGATCCTTAATGGCCCAAGGGTCCAAAATTGGGTTTGGTTCCTGGGTCTAAGTTCTGTAGACAACCTCTGAAAAGCAAATATCTAAATTATTTGCATGGTGTTTTCTTTATTAAAATATTGGGCTAGATCCAACCGAAGTTGGATGTGCTTAGGGCCCATTGAAATCACTTTACCAGCTTCTCACCAGATCAGTGGTGCTTGGGTATCTCTAACTTAGCTTGGATTCAACCTACTATCTATCCTGAAAAATCAAGTTCATGTTCTTGGGCAAGCATCTATTTACAGTTCATGTAAATGGGGCCCATACATGTGAAGGTGGAACAACTCCCAACTGTTTGCGTCTCTTGAAACTGCAATACAGGGTGGAGGAAGCATTACCAATGTGAATCAGTAGGTGGAAGGGGTGCTTAATTTTTCTTCCACCGTGTGATTTTCCTTGCACAGGCACGCTGGGCTGCAAGGCACTGTTTAAAATATTCTCTTCAGTTGAACTCTGACATTGGCCGGTAAACCAGTTCCAGGGAGAAATAGCTGATATGAAGGAGTTTTCCTCTCACCTGCTTCCCTCCTAACCCTGAAATGATCCCTTGCACATGCTTGGGTCTGTTTCTGCGTACTTGTTACTCAGCACATGTGGGTTTGCAGGCACATTTGCTGAGAATGGTGAGCAACAAGGGTAGTCTGGAATCGCAGCCTTATCTTTTACTCTGGAGTACACATCTGTGGTTCCTGCAACAGCCAGCCGGCCTAAGGTATGGTACAGGTGGGAAAGAAAATGCCCCTGGCTGTGCACAGAGTGGAGGCACTTGGAAGCACCAGGTAATCTTGTGTTCAGGCTGGTTCTAGAGCTCAGCCAGACATCTAAGACACGATCCTGCCTTTTCAGTAGTGTATGGAAGCTGCAGAGTGAGTGACATGGTGAATGCAGGTGATGTTTTTGAGGCCAGTCAAAATGTGTGATTTCCTTGAGTTAACCTTTGTTGGTTGAACAAGATGTTGAAGCAGAGTATAGAGTTCACATTTTGAGAAACTTGCAGAATTAAGAATTGACAGGCCTATGCATTACAGTGGGGCAACTGAAGTGGAGGATGACTGTATGGCGTGCAGCTAAAGAATCTCTTGCAAACTATTGAACTATTTGTGTGTCATAGTGCTATCTCAAAAAGAGTCGAGCCCTATAGATTCTGGGAGAGGAAAGGAAGATGCTTTATTAACCCTGCATTTAGTTCTAGTTCAAATTCCTGGGGAGCATCCTGAGGTAGGAAGCAATCTAACAGTACATTATGCAATTAAAAACTGATTCTAAGGAAGTCTCATCGTATAAATATATTGGTCTGCATGGAAGATTACTTAGAAACAGTATGTAAAGTGAAATCCAGTACATTTTTTGACACAAAAAAAGTTGTGGCTGGGGAATGCTAGGAGTTGTAGCACTTTTTTTTTGTCAAAATGCATAGGATTGAACACTGAATCTCTCTGAGCCTCTGTGAAAGATACATCCATATAAATAAAGGAGAATGTCCATCTGTCTGTCAGCATCATAGTTCCAAGCCTGTAAAATCTAGAAACCTGAAGCTTGGCATGCATGCTAAGGAGACCCTAGGGGTGGGTACTAAGGGGGTAATACTGTTTTTTAAATGCCTTAATTTTAATTGAGTTAAATGTATCTGTGTATATGAAGTCTCCATTACCAGGGTCAGTCACTAGGTGGCAAACTTCTCCAACCAGTGTATAGCATTGCTGTCAGAACCAGGCATGCATGAAAATTTCAGTTTTGCTTGCAAAACATCAAGAATGTCCTTTGCAAACACAGCCTATGACTACCATAAGTGTTCATTGTTTGCTAAACATGTGCTTGCATTTAATTTGCACAACTTTCCCAGTTTGATTTGCATAAATTTCCCCTGTAGACTGAATCATCCCTGCTTTAGACTATGGTGGAAAGCTGTGCAAATTTCATGTTCAGTCATAGGCTGAAATGTGCAATTTTCTTATTTGCACAGAGCAAGGAGCAATTGGCAAATGGGAAGTGGGCACAAGGCCCATGACATGATGATTTTGAAGAATCTTGCTTTGCCAGTACCTCATCAGTAGCAATCAGGGATAGCTTGAAGGGTAGAATCGGTAGAATCAGACACTTGTTCCTGCTGTTAGATAAAATCCTCATACGAACAGAGTGGGAAGACCTCTCCCTCAGGGGCCTGTAGGACTCTACCATGGCAATGTAGGACTGTACTATGGCTTGCCTAGAGATGCCAGTGAGAATAGCTTCACTCAGACAGAGCACATTGTGTCCACCTCTAAAAGCTGTATAAATTTGGTTGACTATTTTGCCTTATCATATGAAGCGATATTCCAACCTGTACCACGCTGGGTCTGCTTGCTGGAAGGGAATAAACCAAAAGAAATATTAGGAGCTTTAAAGGCTGGCCCATTCCTGCTAGACATTCCTCAGGAAGACTGACAAGCACTAGTACCAGAACTGTAGAAGGAGATGTTGAAATGTTTCAACTTCTAAGATACACAGGATAACATAACATGAGCAGCTGGCTCAGTGAGAGGACCTGCAACTTTTGCCACATTTTGGCAGGAATTCCTTTCCTAGGTTTCTCTCGGGCAACCACAGTTCATTCATCTGACACAGTATAAGACGACTCCCAGTACGCAGCTGAAGCAGATTGTTTGCAAACAGTTCTTCAGCTTCAGGGCTGCCTGAGGAGACTTGATTCTGTATACTACAGCAGGCAGACGCCTTCACTTTGGTCTCCAGGAGCGGTGTCTGAAATATCTGTCCAGAACTGTGCCAGTCAGCTTGCTTACTGGCAGGTAGGATAACAGTCACAGAGTTCATGGATTCATCTCACAGTGTGGTGAATAAGGGAGGATGCTTACTCTCCACCCTCCCCTTTTCTCTTTCTCTTCTCCTGGATAATCATTAAACACATTTCCAAAAGGCTTTAATCCAAAGATTGACCTGTTTTTGCTGTAATTACATGGGCCGGAGCTCTGCCATAGTGACGTCCTTTGATGATTAGAATCACTGAGCCCCCTCGCTGTAAGTGTGTGGAGATCGCAGTAGCAGCTCTGGAGCAAGGCTGGCAGGCGAAAATTAATCTGCTTGTTGCAATTAATATCCCAGCTGCCTGGCATTGTTAATTAATATCTCATAGCCTTCAGGTCAGAAGGTACAGTCTTCCTGAGCAACACAGATCCAGACACTACTACCTTAATACCTTGTCTCACAGGGTCAAACAAATGAAACTATCATTTGGCTTGCTAGCACATAGGAAAGTTATCACATGAAAGTATTTTGAGTCAGTTTATAGCATGTATTTGGCAGGGAAAGCATATTATTTTTATGGCACGTGCAAGTTTGTTTCACAGTCCCAGGAGTCGCATTGAAGATTTCATAGAATCCACATCTAAGTCTTGCAGATCACGCAGCACCATGGAATAACAGCTGAATAGTGGCAAGATTTAGTGACATGTTTGTGGTAAAAATGTTTTTGATGATACAGGACTTTTTATAAAGTAAGGAAGCAAAAAAAGTTCTCTTTTCAATTCACATTACAAAAATGGAAAGTTCATGGAATAAAATATACCATAGTTCATAATTAGCAACTTATCTGGAAAGAACAGAATAAATTAATTCATTGGACAATGACTTGTAATTTCTGAGATGAGTCTTCCTAGAAGTTTGGCTGCCCTTCTTCAGCCAATATTCGCAAACCCTTTGTCGCAAAGGAGACTTTTACCATGTCTATTTCTATGCCATTTTTCCAAATAATGCTTGAAGTGACTCAAAGAAGCAAACTTATTAATATATAGGTCAGCCTTCCCCAGCTTTCCCAGTGCGTTAGACTATGTCTTTTATCCTTGTCACACAGCACTGGCCATGCTGGTTTGGAATGATGGGTCTTACACTCCAACACATCTGCAGGACACCAGGTTGGGTAAGGCTGATTTAGATACTATGAAAACATGCCATAATAGTATATCCATATTAGCAAGCTGACAAACATATGGAAATTAATATTTCTCAAAATATATGAACATACCTTTTTATAAATACCAGTTATCACAAGAATATTTATTTATTTATTACATTTAAATAAATAATCAATGCCTCTTGGCCAAAGACTCTCAGGTTGGCTTACATAAACAAGAGTAAAACAATAAACAGTACAATTTAAATGATAAAATAATGAAACAATAACGAAATAGTTAATATCAATCAGTAAACTTAAGATTAAAAACTTACTAAGCCTAACTACATTTTCATTAAGCCAAATCACTATTGATAATATTGATGTATCCTCTATATTGATAGAGGATACATCAATATTAAAATATTGCCATTTAACCCATTTAGATTCAAACTCTTATCAAAGCACCAACATTTCAGGAAGCAGTAGAAGATGGAGCAACTTTCAGCATAATCAGCGGAACACTGTTGGTCTGTTGTTGAAATCCTGTTTTATGTGTCCATTTAATGTGTAGAAGTGGCACAGGGTCTGTCCAGTTGAATAAAGTGATATTCCTCATATGTTCTGTCTCCTACCTCACCATGGTTCCTAGAGCATGGCGGATGAAGTGTTGCTTCAATGCACTACATGGATGACTCATGTCTAAATAATGAACAAAAGTAGAATAGCTGAAAGTTTTGAAATATGTTTGCCAGCTGATCTGTCTAAAAGAAAAGTCTTCTGATGACATTGAAGTTTTGATGCCACCTACACTGGTTGACAAGGAGAAAGCCTCAGAAATGAAAGTAGCTAAATTTTACCAGAACTGGGTCACTAATAAAGGAAAATTAAGTCCTGAATATTAATTGGCTCCGGTTTCAGGTTGATTTTTTTTTTTTTCCGATTTATATCCTGCCTTTTTCCTACAAAGGGCTCAAGGCAGCTTACATCAGAAAAATTCAAAAGTACGAGGGGGACATGCAATTATGCTCCATACCTTTTCTGCAAAATGTGATATAGCAATGAGAATGGTTATTTATTTCATTCTGTGAAATTAGATGTGGTTCAGGAGGAGCATGTGGCGGGCTAAGGTTTGGGTCCACTGACATTGACGGCCCCAGATCAACTGCATCCTGCTCATCGTCTTTATCATCATCTGAGTCTAGAGAGGAGGATTCTGGTGGATCTGGAATTGGCAAGTCCTCACCATGGGGTACAGGACGCAGTGCAGATGGAATGTTTGGATATTCCACGGTCCACTTCTTTCTTGAGATCCCTTTTGCAACTGGGGGAACCATGCAAAAATAGCAGTCATTACTGTGATTGGTGGGTTCCCTCCACACCACTGGGACTCTGAAAGGCATGGACTTTTTCTTCTTGTTTAGCGAGTGATGCAGATACTTGTAAGTTGCCTAAAGGAGCGCTTACGTCCGTATATGCCCTCCTGCCCCTTGAGATCAGCGGCAGAGGCCCTTCTCCGGGAACCCTCCGTGAAAGATATTAGAAGGCCGAGTACCAGGAGGAGGGCTTTCTCTGCGGTGGCACCAACTTATGGAATGTGCTCCCCAGAGAGATCCACCTGGCGCCACCGTCATTTGCTTTTTGGCACCAGGCCAAGACCTTTATTTAAATGTTATTTTAATTGTTAACTTTATTTATTGATTTTAATAATTTTTCGCCAGAATGTCTCCAATATTTTATGTAACTGTATCATTTATATTTATGTTTGGAAGCCGCTCCGAGGCTTATGCGAATGGGGCGGCATATAAATTCTCCAAATAAGTAAGTAAGTAAGTTGCACATGTAATGCAATAATGAGGGGCCCAACTCTTGAAATGATCCCCTATTTTGCATCCAAAATACAGGTACTATGCCTTTTTTACCACTGCCATCATACTGCTCTTTTGAGATGCAAATGTAACCTCACCACAAATGTAGCAGAAGTCATCTGCATTGTTTATACAGTTTTGAGCCATCATGGTTTTTGAGGGAAAGCATCACACAACTTGGTAATGTTAGGTAATGACACTTTCACAAGCCACCGGATGCTGCGAAGATCTGACCAAGACAAATGTACCTTGCAATAAAAGAACAATAAATTATAGTTTGGTGGTAATCTTTAGTCTCAAAGTGAAGACAAATTTATACACATCTATGTGGTACCATTTTCTTTGTTCTACCATACTTAGTTGATAACTTATGAGGCATCATGATCATTGGACACCTCCCTCCCTTGTAGGCAAATATACTTACCTGTGTATAAATCTTTATTGTGAAATATCTTGAAAACTTTAGCCAACCAGCATCTTTATCACCTGTTTTCTAATTCATCTAATCAAAATATGTAAGAATTAGCACATTTTATCTCTGAGGTCGATAATTTCCCAAAATTTGTAGACCAGTGCTGTCAGAGATAACATTATTTCATGGATTCTGGGGGCCATTTCTGCCCGTTCTTGCTTTGACATATGAGTTTAATTATTGAGGAAAATTGTCCTCATGTGTTTTGTGTGTGCTGCATCTTGCAATTCTCTTCTTACTCTATGTGCATGGACTAACTTCAATTGTTTTCAAAATCCTCACTTTGTGTGTGTGTCTTGTCTTTTTGGTAGATGCTGGCTTTGTGGTTACAGCCATCTCTCGCACCCCTGGAGTCACCTATAATGAGTCGTTTGATTTACAGTGCATCATCAAACCTCATTACCCATCATGGGTTCCAGTGTCTGTAACATGGCGTTTCCAGCCAGCGGGCAGTACTGAATTTCATGATCTGGTCACATTTACTCGGGATGGAGGAGTTCAGTGGGGAGATAGGTACATTGGATTCCGCACCCGGACGGCCATTGAGAAAGCAGAGTCTAGCAACAATGTGCGCCTGAGCATCAGCAGAGCCAGTGACACAGAGGCAGGGAAGTACCAGTGTGTGGCAGAACTCTGGAGGAAGAACTACAACAGCAGCTGGACACGACTGGCAGACAGAACCTCGAATCTGCTGGAGATCAGAGTCTTGCGACCTGGTGAGTGTCCTGCTGGCAATGCCACTTTCTTCTTTGGAATTATAGAATTTACAGTCCTTGTTTGCTTTGTGTTGACTTAAGGGTGTGAGGTTTTTAATCAAGCCCTAAATGGCTTGGGAGCAGGATACCTAAAGGAATGCCTTTCTCCCTACATGCCCTCCCACCCCCTAAGATCGGCAGCAGGGGCCCTCTTCTGGGAAACCTCTTTGAAAGAGTTTAAGAGACAGAGTACTTGGAGGAGGGCCTTCTCTGTGGTGGTGCCCCAACTATGGGATGTGCTCCCTGGAGATGTCCGCTTGGTGCAGTCATTATATGTTTTTTGGCGCCAGGTCAAGACCTTTTTATTTGACCAATATTTTAACACATAATTTTAATTGTGATATGACTTATTTATATTTTAAATGATGCTCAGCATGGAATAATTAATTTATTTTATTATGAAATAATGTTGTAAGTTGTCCAGAGGTGACAGTAATGGATGGCATACAATTTTTTTTTAAATGAATGAATGAATAAATAAATAATCAGTGGCTGTTGCCTTTGGGAAAGGATAAATATCTTTCAGTGCCTTTGAAATTACCTTTTGATATGGGTCATTTCATTGGTGGTGCTTTCCCCCTTCTCTTTGGGGTAGGTGAAAGTGTGTAGGCATGCCTGTGTTGTGCTCATATCTTATATTTGGTTTTAATGAGAATTCGATAATGATTGAAAACCATACCTGTTCATTACGTAAGTATTTAAGGAAGTAGTAAGTGTTTGCTTCCAACGCAGTTTGGCTTTCATTGCTTAAGTTAGTTACTAGCCAGTCTATATCTTCAGGAAAAAGCGGCATGGTATGGCCCTACTTGGAGTTTACCACTTTAAAATATACATTGGGAACATATGTTGAAGTGCCCCTATATAAAACAAAACAAAAAACAAAAAAACACCCCAGTACATAGAGAGTTAGCATGTTGGGAAGAAGGCAAGGCTAGATCTTGCTTTTCACAGACAGTAGTAGACATGGTTATCAATCATGTAATCCCCAATCTGAATTCTAAAGGAGTGTGATCACAACTGCACCAGGTCCACATTTTTCCTGGTGTGTAGATTCGTTGGAGCAGTCATAAGAGAGTGAACAGGAAAGCCACATGTGAAGCATGGTCTTACTTTGTTAGCATCTAGTCTGAAATCAGTATTCCCATTTGCATTTAAGAGAGCTCAGTAGGATTTCGCAACAGTGATTCTCTTTTTCTAACTCATTCCATTTAATTTCCGTGGATATTGCATTTTTATATATGCAGGTTGTTGTCTGGGGCACATTATTCTTCCCCTTTAGTTGTATTAAAGGATGTTATTATCCAAATGCTTTCCTTTTGCTGCATGACGCTTGAGGCTTCTGTTCTGGTTAGATTCCATTTCTCAGTCTGATTTTGAAGTTCTAAAGTGGTTGATGTAATAGACACTATACAAATAATTATATAAATATGTAAAGAGTATAAAACAGTAGGAAAAAAATTCTTCCACACGTCTATCATTTCATTGCTTGTAGTGAAGAGTAGAATTGGACAAAAATATCATTTGTAAATGCTAGCACCAGATCTTGTCAACAACCATAACCAGTGCAGAACAGAGACAAAACTACCATATTTTTTTTTTTATTCCCCGACTACTGAGGCATTTCAAGTCCTGGGCAGAAGGCTGATATCTGTTCTAACAAATGGTAGCAGCAGCAGGCTATGGACCAGCAAGCAGGCATAGATGCAAAATAGTGGCTTTGTGGGGAAGATGCAGAAGATTGTTGTTTCTTCTCAGTAGTAAATCAGACAACATGACTATCAATAGTTGCTTGTCGTGTCATGGAAATCCAGAGCTTGTGTAACACTTAACTGTGGTTACATACATACATCTCTGGCTCATGTGCTCCTCAGGGGCAGCCACAAGGGAAGATTGGAAGCTTTCATTTCTGTTTTCTGTTAACCACACCAGGCTTCCTCAGTCTGGTGCCCTCCTGGTATCTCAGATTATAACTCTCATCATTTCTACCAATTGGCCATGCTGAATGGGGCTGATGGGAACCAAAGACCAAAACGTCTAAAGAGTAAGTCTGCTGTAAAAGTTAGCTGCAGTTTGTCTGAGTTCAGGCAGTAATAAGATACAATTATTTAGAAAGAGTAGCAAAAGGAGGAGAGGGGAAGAGGAACTTTCATGAGGTGAATTATTGGTGTACTTCCAAACAAGACTACTACTTCCAAGCAAAAAGAAACAAAGAAAATTAAACCATCATGCATTCCATTTAGGAGAGTCTTGTTTGCAAGCTTGACTGATCTCCCCAGATGGAATTTTGTCCATTGAAGCTGGCCATCGTAAAATAATTCCTCCTTCATGTGGCCTGAATAACTTAACAGATTTGAAAAAGCTAAGGCTGTGAATGAATAATTTCTGGTGGGCAGTGTACCTTTGGAATAGGAGTCAGCTTATGGAGTCCGATTTTGGTAATAGTCATAGGAAAATACTGTATCATTCTTGAGTTCTGTTGATTACCTCACCCTTCTGCAAGACATTAAAAGATGAGATCAGTGCTGCCTGCTGAAGCAAACACGTCTGGGGGTCTCAGACAAGGACAGCAGACACACTCCAGGAACCGAGCCAATGACAAATGGCTGTGTCATAGACTGTTGAGTTGAGATGTTTATGTATGACCCCTAGCAAGGAACTTCGTCAGATGATTTGCGCCTGTATCAAATTGCTGAAAATTCATCTGCATTAGTGCACTCAAGTTTTCAAATAAGAGCAGCACTAAGGCATGGAAAAGACCCAAGAATTTGCCGGAGATACATGCAATTCAGGAATGTCCTCATTTAGAGCAGATAATAATCTCTGTTGCCCTTTTGTATTTGAATATTTAAGGGAAACATGCATGAAAGTGCTACTGGAGTTTTGCCTTGGCTCAAACTGTTGCTGCTTCTGTTTCCTATAAACTGAAGGGAACCACAGGGTTGTTTCAGATTTACACATTTCTCTCACAGAGAATATGTTATGTAGGAGAAAATATAAATACCCATGTAGTTTGTTACACACAATCATTTCCACACATCACGTCTGAACTCTGAAATGACCATTTAGTGCTAATCTTGCTTTATTGGCTTAATTTGCCCTTCTCCTACATGGTAGGTTAACAATGTTATATGTCCCAAATGCTTTCAAAATTGCTGGCAGGGTACACAGAAATGTTGCTTATTGGTAGATTTAGTCTGGTCTACCAAAAAAATGAGGGATGCAGTGGCGCAGCGGGTTAAACCGCTGAGCCACTGGGCTGGTTGATTGAAAGGTCAATAGTTCTAATCCACAGACGGGATGAGCTCCCGTACTCTGTCCCAGCTCCTGCCAGCCTTGCAATTCAAAAACATATAAATGCAAGTAGATAGATAGGTACCACTTCGGCGGGCAGGTAACAGCGTTCCGTGCACTGCAGTGTTTAGTCATACCAGCCATATGACCACGGAAACTGTCTGTGAACAAATGCTGGCTCCGTTGGCTAGGAAACGCAGATGAGCACCACCCCCTAGAGTCAGACATGACTGGACTTTAATGTCATGGGGGAACCTTTACCTTTTTCACCAAGAAAATGGCACTCAAGGCAACTCACAATCATAAATAAACTGTGATTTAAAAAATAATAAAACAAAAGCATTAAAACACAATTAAAATGCTACAATAATACAAGCTTGCTTTTTTGTCAATCGATGTCAAGAAAGATACTTGTAGATTCGCTTTATTTTATGATAATTTGGTGCCATAAAGAATATGTGCCATTACCTTAAGTAATCTCCTGCTTCCTAGTTTAGGTCACAGGATTTCTAATGGTGTGGTTGATTTATATGGAGCTCCAGAAGGATCAAAGCATGGACTTAGAATGCCACTGTTGGTTGCCACCTGTCCATGGCTGCCACAGTGAGTGATTACTATGACATGATTTCTTTCTCCATCGAATCTGTTGCTATATTTGAAGGGAACAGTGGGGGTGAGGACGTTTGTCTCTTCAACACTGGGCCACTTCTGGTTCTACTGATAAATCTCTTTTGTCCTCATGTATCCTGTCCCAATGCCTTATACTTAAAGAGAGGTCTGGTTCAACTAATCCTGAAGCTGGGAAATTGTGGAAGACAGTGCATGGTGCTTACACTTTTAACAGGAAATTTGGAGATAGAGAGGCTGCAAAAAAGAAAGCTGCCTCCAGGAGTCCCAGACTCCTTAACTGCTTTCAAAAGTTTTGCCCTGGCAGGCAGGTTGACTGGAGAGTCCCGGATTATGCACAATGGATGTTTTAATGAAAGGATTCATTAGGGAACAGTATCTGGAGAGTTGCCTTTTAAATTTACTTACAGATATTCAAATTAAACTATCCTTGGTAGAAGAGAGTATGCTCAGTTGGCTTGAAGAACTGCATTTTGCCCCATTGAGAGGATCACTGAATAGGGTAGGCACTGAATGCATTCATATTGCCATTTTATTGCTTGCTTGCTGAGGCCCCTTGCCATTCCAGCATCTCAGGATGCCTTATGAACACAAAGCATTCCTTCATCCTTGAATGTAAGGTAAAAGGATAAATGTTGTAAATTAAGAAACTGGCCCAGAGTGATATTCAACAGTGCAGTATGTTCAGCCACGGAGCTGGGAATAGAATATATGGGAATCCTGTTTCTTTGTGTCTTGTACCCTAGAATTACTTATCCTCCCTTTTTGTTACAAACCATAAAGTTTAAGTGCTTCTGGAACTACTTTAACAAAAATGTCATGGAGCCCTGTTGCTATCAAAATTTAAGGGTCAATATAGATGTGGCAAAACTTCTGACTAGACCAACACCTGCTGGCAGACCTCTATGAACTTTTCAGGTAAAAGATGAGAAGAAATCAGGGTATATGGAATGAAGCCCAGTATAATTGAAAAGCAGCTAATAGTGGTATTTAACCTATCACTAAAATCAACCTCTGTGTCAGGGATATGGATTGTAGTTAAT